AACTAGCCTCCAACTAATGAAAATAAATGAAAAAAAATCTGAAAAAGAAAAAGGCAGAGGAATCAAACCAAAGATCAAATTGCCAACATCTGTTGGATCATAGAAAAAGCAAGAGAATTCCAGAAAAACATCTACTTCTGTTTCATTAACTATGCTAAAACCTTTGATTGTGTGGATCACAACAAACTGTGGAAAATTCTGAAAGAGATGGGAATACTAGACCACCTGATCTGCCTCCTGAGAAACTTGTGTGCAGATCAAGAAGCAATAGTTTGAACTGGACATGGAACAAAGAACTGGTTCCAAATTGGGAAAGGAATATGTCAAGACTGTATATTGTCACCCTGCTTATTTACCTTATAGCAGAGTACATCATGTGAAATATGAGACTGGATGAAGCTCAGGCTGGAATCAAAATTGCCAGGAGAAATATCAATAACCTCAGATATGCAGATGACAGCACCCTTATGGCAGAAGGCAAAGAGGAACTGAAGAGCCTCTTGATGAAGGTGAAAGAGGGGAGTGAAAAAGCTGGCTTAAAACTCAACATTCAAAAAACGAAGATCATGGCATCCGGTTCCATCACTTTATGGCAAATAGATGGAGAAACAATGGAAACAGCAACAGACTTCATTTTCTTGGGCTCTGAAATCACTGCAGATGGTGACTCTGGCTGTGAAACTAAAAGACACTTGCTCCTTGGAAGAAAAGCTATGATAAACCTAGACAGTGTCTTAAAAAGCAGAGATATTACTTTACCAACAAAGGTCTGTGTAGTCAAAATACGGTTTTTCCAGTAGTCATGTATGGATGTGAGAGTTGGACCATAAAGAATTGATGCTTTTGAGCTTTGGTGTTGGAGAATACTCTCGAGAGTACCTTGGATGGCAAATCAGTCCATCCTAAAGGAAATCAACTCTGAATATGCATTGGAAGGACTGATGCTGAAGCTCCCAATACTTTGGCTACCTGATGTGAAGAGCTGACTCATTGGAAAAGACCCTGATACTGGGAGGGATTGAAGGCAGAAGGAGAAGGGGCCGACAGAGGATGAGATGGTTGGATGGCATCACTGACTGGATGGACATGAGTTTGAGCATCCTCTGGTAGTTGGTGAAGGACAGGGAAGCTTGGTGTGCTGCAGTCCATGGGATTGCAAAGAGTTGGACACGACTTAGTGATTGAACAACAACAGATATAGATTCTCCACGTCTTGTCCATTCTTGAAGCTTCCTGTCTTTCCACCACTTGGAATCTGCCGAAAGGACAGTGACGCCGCCTAAAATTAGGATCTGAAGTTTTGGCAGGAAGCCCTTCACAGTTGATGATCTGAGTAGTATCTTTGCCAGCTGGAGCTTACAAGAAAGAAACCAAACAAACTCTTGGCACTTTCTGAAATGCAGCTTTTTGCTCCTTCAGAAATTGGGATTCTGGTCAGTGGATGCTGATTTTAAAGTTGTATGTAGAACTTAGAGCCCAGTGGCCAAGAGTGTCACTGTTCTTGATGTCCACACTGGTTACCTAATTAATGAATTTGCAGCCTGTTTGGAATTGGAATTATAGCCTAGTAGGATTTTGGAGCTAGACAGGGCTTTCTCCTTGAGTTGATGTATCCCATTCCCTAAATGGGAAACTTTAAGGTTACTTACCTATTTAATGGCAGACTGGAGCTCTGATCTTGGTGTTCGTGGCCTCTTCATTTTCTGTTTAACAGCATGTTTCAGAATTACAGGGGTGATAGTGCTGGAGTCATTCTTATTGAAGCAACACTTTGTTGCTTGTGGTCTTCCCACAAGCCTGAATATTTGGGGAATGAGACTACCAGAAAAATCCTTGTGTGAGTTATGCAATTATGCTTTTTCTTCCCCCCAGTAAGAAAAATGATGAGTAGTAAGCAATTCTATAATAAGGATGATGTTTTTAAATTACTTATTTGAGTAAGTAGTAGATGAACTTAACAGAATACTATTAAGTGGGAAGTACTCACAGTGAAAATAAATTTTCCTGCCTGCCTGCCCAGTTTCTCTTTCTCCATCCCAGAGGAGAAAATCCTGGGGTGAAGAAAATCTCCTTCCTTCTTTTTCTAAAGTATCAAAATTTCTGAAGTACCAAATTTAGTAGTACTAAAAATGTTTTATTTCAGTTTTAGCCTTCATAAAACTGAGTGATTTAAGAATCTGCTTTCCCCACCCCTCAGCATTTTATGGTCACTTTCAAATAGAGCAAAGTTGAAAGAATTACAGTGAGGACTTGAATCTCATCAACTGAATCTACCATTGTACTTTACTGTATTTGTATTCTCACATATCTCTGTGTTCATCCACTTATTCACCCCTCAATGCCTTCTAGAAGTCCTCATAAAATCTGCCTAGTTAGATAACAGTGGATAGAATTTTGCTGCTTTTTTTTTGCCAGTGACAGAAGCCAAAGGCCTGCAAGTGGAGAGACATGGCGTGGTCTGTGGTTTAAACTAGGAATGCTTGTGTGTGCCTCTGTGTGTTTTAAACGATAAGGATGAGCAGGGCATAACAACTTATGTTATAGATTTAGTTGGTTTAGTGTGTAAGCTAAGAGCCTGACTGAACATCCTTCTTCATATTTCATTCTCTGTTGGCCCCTGTCTTGTTCACTGGTCTCCCTCTGGTGAATTGAGCTAATAAAGCTGTGTTTGGCTTTTATCAGAGAAGTGATCTGCTGTGTTACGCATTCTGGGGAACACATTGAGTTGGTTGAGGTGTGTGTGCTCTTCTGAAGAAACATACTAATTTTGATTAAAATGCTGAGAACCATTGTTTTAGAATTCTTTTTTTCCCCCTTATGCAAAATAATTAAAATTCTCTTATTGTACTCCTCTAGAAGCTTATACATTAAGACCTTATTGTATAAACCCCTTTCTAACGCAGTAATTTTTGTAAGTAACATAAAGTAATCTTAAATATTACTTGATTTTTCCTAAAAGCAAAGTTAAAAATAGATACTTGAAGTGCAAAGTGGGATTTAATGAATGTGTCTTAAAATATTTTGGCAATTTATTCTGCTTGGGAATGGAGAAAGAAAAGGAAAAAATAAACCTAATGAAGAGATATCACCCATAGTCCCCTCACTTTGAAGATGATCATGTTAACATTCTATATATCCTTTTATATATCCTTTGTTTTCCTATTCATGTTTAAACTTTGCTCTGTTTGAAAGTGATCATGTTAAAAATGAGGATAACAGTATACAAGCTGTTTCAGAATCTACTTTTCCTCCCTTCACATTAAATGAATTTTCTCATTTGATTTATATTCTTTTACAAAATGAAAAGCTATGTGGCCATTCAAACTATATCCAGGACATTCCAAAGGTTATGTTATGGAGGTTCTCTCCTGGTATCAGATCACTTTCAGTTTGCCCTTGTTAGGAAAGGATTTAAAAGCAGTGCTGCTGATTAAAGAAGTGGATCCAGGCATGATGAGCTAGAGCCATGCAAGCAATTCTTATTTTTCATAAGTCAGCTAAGCTTGGACAAACCGGCAGTTGGAGATTATTTTTATCATGTGTAATTTAGTAGAACTCCTTCTGTTTAGCAGAATTAGTCCTATCATCACTGTGTCACATTGATGGAGGAATTTTTTTAAAACATATAGATCTTGGTCTTTTTTTTTTTTTAAAACAAAAAACAGCTTTGTTTCCAGTAGAGGTCTCATTTAAAGGAGGTTTTGCTGCACTTGACTGCAAGATTGAAACAAAACGTTAATGGACAGTTCTTATCTATGGGAGGGGACAGAGGGATCCTTTCTCTCCCTCTCTTGTTCATCTGGCAGGAAAGTTAATCTAGTGGCTCTGAATTTAGGGAAGTGGGCTTTCTTTATAGGGGTTCATTTTCTCAAGGGGCATTAATGTTCGATTAAATTTGCTGTGTAAAGAAGTGGGCCCATGGCTCCATGGTGGATACCTTCTCATGATGCTCATGACAGCAATGCGCTAGGAAAGCTCACCTTTGGCACAGACGTCGGTAACACTGGGTGACAGCGATGGCCTGGCAGTGTCATGCTCAGCCTTCTCCCTTCCACCCTACCTTTGGATAACTATGGAAAGCCTTTAGACAAATTGTAAATGTCTGTGTATGTTCAGTGACCCCAGCTGCAGAGAGTGATAACATTAAGAGATACTGAATTACTTTAAACTTCCAAGAGCAATGAACCCAATTTATAAGAAATTTACTCTAAATTCCTTAGCGCCCATCCTTTAGATAGATAGTGATTTATTTCCCGCTTCAGTAAAAGCTCTGACAGGAGAAGAACCTGAACTATATGGACATTTGAGCAGCAGCAAGTCTGGGCACGCGCATCACTTATTTTACCCAGGGATTCTTTGGGAGGGGTGGAATTGTTTGTTCTTTCGGTATGGGCTTGTGTGCATGATATGTATACTAGAAAAGCCCCACCCTTTTTTTTTTTCCTTCAGAGTAATAAACAAAACTTGAAGATAATTCTGTAGTAAAATGAAACTAGGTTGAGCAGTAGTGTTTCAGCTGATACTGAAGCAACCACTGACCAAACCTATCAAGTGGTCTTATCTGTTTTCCTGTAATATGTATATTTATAATTACTGAGTTCAGAGGTATTTGTTGTTTCCTTTCTTTGCACAATGTAAGGAAAGCTTTTAAATGTTTTATGTTGTTAGATACTTTAAAAAGGCTGTAGTAACTTCTGTCACTGTTAAGTTGCAGAATTAGCTTGAACACTGATTTCAGCTGGCCTGAAGTGAGTGTAGAGTGGCGTCTGTCCAAATTAAGCTAAAACAAAGGAAGTTCCTGTGTGTACTTTCCTGTCTCTTACAACAAAAACAGAAGCAAGCAAAAAATCTTCTGTAATTGTTAAGCAGTTTTCAGAGTACCTGATATTAAAAGTATGGATTTTGGTATTTTACTGTGCTAAATTGTTTCTTAGAGGTTCTCATCTACTTTATGAAAGACATTCTCTTAAAAGATAATTGTTTTTCTTTTCCTCTGTCAGAACACAACAATGGAGGAAACAGCTATATGGGAACAACACACGGTGACACTTCACAGGGTGAGTTCTGTTGAGTAAATAATCTGTGTAACTCAGGATCCTGGCAGTTTCTGAAAACAATAGAGGAAAGCCAGATGTCAGGAAGCCAGAAGAAAGGGGAAGAACTTTTCTATAATCCTTTGTTTGAAATTAGAGTTGCAATAAATTCTTTATTAAGGTCAAAAGTGAGCATGATTACTTTTTCATATATCCTTTCAGTTGTTATTTGTATATTGCTGTTTTTAATCATGACTTAAGAAATCAGGTGGTTTATACTTTATAAGTTTTGAGTGATCAGATAAAAGACACCATATGCTGGTGTAAATGTGTAAACTGTTTTAGTGTTTCTGAGTATATAAGTACGTATTGTAAGTTTGGGGTTTAAAATTGAACAAGGTCATGCAAGTAATAAAATCTTAAAAGATATTCCTTGTTTTGAAACATGTAGAACCAAGCTGTTGCTTAAGTAATTGCAGATGGTCAGAGAGCAAATCACAGTGATCTGGGTAAGAGTAAGAACTTTGTGGTACTTCCCTGGAGGCCGAGTGGTTAAGATTCTGTGCTTCCACTGCAGAGGGCATGGGTTCAGTCCCTGGTCAGGGAACTTAAGATACCGTATGCTATGTGACTCTAGAACTGGATGGAAAATTCTGAAATGAGGATTAAGTAAATGATACCTTTAAAATACTCATGTTAAAAGAAAAAAGGAAGAGCTTTGTCTGAAATGAACCTGTTTGGAATTTGAATCCTAGCACTCCCTGCTTCCCTTTAGAAATGAGCACATGTGGTCCAACTCACTTCTAAAACTTTGGTTTCCACAGGTGTAAAATGTGGCTGATGCCACATAATTGTACTTGGCATAAAGTTGTGCTGCCCATAGGTCTCCCTCTTCCTCCCTCGGAAGAGAGCTGATTGCTGATTCCCCTTCTCCTTGGAGAATGTGCAGAAAGAGATGAGAGAACAGACAGATGTTTTACACGTACTGTTTCTACCCGCTGTGTCCATTACTAGCAAGTTAGAGAAGGGGAAAGCCATGTTCCTAAACCGCGATCTTGTGAATCTTTGAATCTGCACATGATAGGCAACGGGTAAATTCCGTTCAGTTCAGTTGCATCTGACTCTTTGCGACCACATGGAATGCAGGACGCCAGGCTTCCCTGTCTATCACCAACTCCCAGAGCCTACTCAAACCCATGTCCATTGTGTTGGTGATGCCATCCAACCATCTCATCCTCTGTCGGCCCCTTCTCCCGCCTTCAATCTTTCCCAGCATCAGGGTCTTTTCCAATGAGTTGGTTCTTCACATTAGGGGCCAAAATATTGGAGTTTCAGCTTCAGCATCAGTCCTTCCAATGAATATTTGGGACTGATTTCCTTTAGGATTGACTGGTTGGATCTTCTTGCAGTCCAAGGGACTCTCAAGAGTCTTCTCCAACAGTTCAAAATCGTCAATTATTTGGTACTCAGCTTTCTTTATAGCCCAACTCTCGCATCCATACATGACTACTGGAAAAACCTTAGCTTTGACTAGATGAACCTTTGTTGATAAAGTAATGTTTCTGCTTTTTAGTATGCTGTCTAGGATGGTTATAGCTTTTCTTTTCAAGGAGCAAGCGTCTTTTAATTTCATGGCTGCAGTCATTTTCTGTGGTGATTTTGGAGCCCGAGAAAATAGTCTCTCCCTGTTGCCATTGTTTCCCCATCAATTTGTCATGAAGTAATGGGACCGGATGCCATGATCTTAGTTTTCTGAATGTTCAAACTACCTCACAACTGCACTCATCTCACATGCTAGCAAACTAATGCTCAAAATTCTCCAAGTGAGGCTCCAACAGTACATGACCCAAGAACTTTGAAATGTTCAATCTGGATTTAAAAAAGGCAGAGGAACCAGAGATCAAATTGCCAACATCTGCTGGATCATCAAAAAAGCAAGAGAGTTTCAGAAAAACATCTACTTTGGTTTTACTGACTACGCCAAAGCCTTTGACTGTGTGGATCACAACAAACTATGGAAAATTCTTCAAGAGATGGGAATATCAGACCACCTGACCTGCCTCCTGAGAAATCTGTATGTAGGTCAAGAAACAGCAATTAGAAGTGGACGTGGAACAACAGACTGGTTCCAAATAGGAAAAGGAGTATGTCAAGGCTGTGTATTGTCACCCTCCTTGTTTAACTTATATGGAGAGTACACCGTGCAAAATGCTGGGCTGGATGAAGCACAAGCTGGAATCAAGATTGCTGGGAGAAATATCAATAACCTCAGATATGCAGATGACACCACCCTTATGGCAGAAAGTGAAGAGCCTCTTGATGAAAGAGGAGAGTGAAAAAGTTGGCTTAAAGCTCAACATTCAGAAAACTAAGATCACGGCATCCGGTCCCATCACTTCACGGGTAAATTAATTGTTTTGAAAAGAAACAGTGATTTCAGATAAACTATACTTAATTTTTTTTGTGTGTCTCCCTGAATAAAAAAAAGTCACAATAATAACCTTAACTTTTAATTTATAGAGCTAAAGGTATGGCCTGAATTTGTTTGAAATATCCTGATAGATAACATATTTAAATCAGATTAAATGTATATCATCATGTCATTTGGCTAATGTTTATAGAATAATTGGATACTGTTTTATCATATTTTATTAATTTTTCTTAATACCTTCATTGTTTTTATTGGTGTAATTTACACACATTAAAATTCATCCTTAGTGTACAGTCCTGAGTCTGCCAAACGCATTTAGCCCTGTGACAGTCACATCACCACCACTGCAGATAATGTAGAACTGTTGGTCACCCTGAGGTTCTCCCAAGTGCAACTTGTAGTCAGCCCCAAGCCCTTACCTTCAGCGCTTAGCAACCATTGGTGTTTTCTGTTCTGTACATTGGCCTTTTCCAGAAGGTCATGAGAGGAACTCATATAGTATGTAGTCTTTTGAGACTGGCTTCTTAAACTTAACCTAATGCACCTGAGATTTCTCTGTGATGGACTTGTATCAGTAGTTCCTTATTGCTGAGTAGCATTTCATTGTATGAATATAGAATAATTCGCTTATTCATTCTTCAGCCTGAATACTTTTGGTGATTATGAATAAATCTGCTCTGGTATACAAGTTTTTGTATGCTCATACCTTTTCCTTTCTCTGGGGTAAATTCCTGGGAATGCAGCGTTGTGGGTTTTATGGTAAGTGAATGCTTAACTTTTTTTTTTTTTGTGGGCAAGAATTTTTTTTTTTCTTTTTTCCTTTTATTTTTATTATTTGGAGGCTAATTACTTTACATCATTGCAGTGGTTTTTGTCATACAATGCTTAACTTTTATAAGGAGCTGTCATACTTTCTGTACTATTTTGCATCTCAGCCAGCAGCTCATAAGAGCTCGTTACTTTGTATCCTCACGAACAGTTGATTGTATCAGGGTTGGAGTGTTGTTTTCCTCCTCCTTTTTATCTGTTCTAATAGGTGTGTTGTGGTATGTCATTGTGGTTTTAGTTAGTAGTTCTCTAAAGACTAGTGCTTATGGCAGAAAGTGAAGAGGAACTAAAAAGCCTCTTGATGAAAGTGAAAGAGGAGAGTGAAAAAGTTGGCTTAAAGCTCAACATTCAGAAAACTAAGATCATGGCATCTGGTCCCATCACTTCATGGCAAATAGATGGGGAAACAGTGGAAACAGTGTCAGACTTTATTTTTTTGGGCTCCCAAATCACTGCAGATGGTGATTGCAGCCATGAAATGAAAAGACGCTTACTCCTTGGAAGGAAAGTTATGAGCAACCTAGACAGCATATTAAAAAGCAGAGACATTACTTTGCCAACAAAGGTCCATCTAGTCAAGGCTATGGTTTTTCCAGTGATCATGTATGGATGTGAGAGTTGGACTATAAAGAAAGCTGAGCGCCAAAGAATTGATGCTTTTGAACTGTGGTGTTGGAGAAGACTCTTGAGAGTCCCTTGGACTGCAAGGAAATCCAACCAGTCCATCCTAAAGGAGATCAGTCTTGGGTGTTCATTGGAAGGACTGATGCTGAAGCTGAAACTCTAATACTTTGGCCATCTCATGCAAAGAGTTGACTCATTGGAAAAGACCCTGATGCTGGGAGGGATTGGGGGCAGGAGGAGAAGGGGGCGACAAGAGGATGAGATGGCTGGATGGCATCACTGACTCAGTGGACCTGAGTTTGAGTAAACTGCGGGAGTTGGTGATGGACAGGGCAGGCCTAGCGTGCTGCCGTTCATGGGGTCGCAAAGAGTCAGACACGACTGAGAGACTGAACTGAACTGAAAAACTAATGATGTTGCATATCTGTTTATGTGCTTATTTGTCATCTATATATCTTCTTTAGGGCTTCCCTGATAGCTCAGTTGGTAAAGAATTCGCCTGCAATGCAGGAGACCCCACCTCTATTCCTGGGTTGGGAAGGTCTGCTGGAGAAAGGGATAGGCTACCCACTCCCGTATTCTTTGGTAAACTGTGTTCACATATTTTGCCTATTTTTAATTAAATTGTTTGTTTTCTTATACTGACCTTAAACAATAGAGTAACAGTTATTTCTCCAGGCAAAGTGGGTTTGCTGGGGATCAACAAAGAATTGCAGTTAAGGGTCTGCAACCATGGCGAGACAGTACAGGACCCCAGCAGACAATGGAGAAGGGCACTCTTTTATGAGTGAGGAGGAGAAAAGGAAGTTGGGAGGGCTGAAGTAAACAGCGAGTCCACCAGAGGAATTGAGAGCCCAGGGTATTGTGGTTGTTCACTGGCTGAGTTGTGACAGTCTGTCACAGTGGAGCTCCTGACAGGCAGGAAGAGCAAGTCAGTCTTACTCCTGTTGGGCTCTGCTAATAGGGCAGTGCACTAGTGCATCCCCTGCTGGCCACCTAACTCTGCTAATAGGGCAGTGCACTAGTGCATCCCCTGCTGGCCACCTAACTCTATTTTAATTGAGGTTTCTGTGTATTAATTTTTACACTTACTGTTTTTTAAAATTGTGGTAAAATACACATAACAGGATTTACCATCTGT